AGTTTCCTAAACGGGGCATCGATGTTTTCCCAACCTTTATTTGTGGGTCATTGATAATGTCGGAATCTCACTGTTCGTCCTTACGAACCTCTTCCGATCAGTTCGGGGAACTGAAAAGATGCCTAGCAACTGGTATTTTCTCAAAAATAGTGTAAAAACCTTGTGTGATGAGCGCAGAAACTCCAGTCTAGTTTCCTTCGCACCAAAGTTGCCCATCTGAATTTTGTTACCCCCATTATTCTGTTGATCCTCCCTTATGGGCAGCAGTGACTCGGGATATTCTTGAAACCTACTCATCCTTGTCTGGGAGGCAGTTGCTTTAAAAGGAAGTAAGACACATCTCTGAGGTGTATATGGGCCTTCATCTGCTTGTGGTTGTAGTGAACATCATCTCACGTTAAGCGAGACACTAGAGATCCTGGAAATATGTGGGCAGTCGACGATCTTATACTGTAGTCAAGAAAGTTACAATATCAAGTGTCCTTTGGAACTGTTTGCTGTACAGATTGATGTCAGCGAAATATGTTCATACTATGGGAGCTTTCTGTGCTATGTCTGAAGATCATTAGAAAACCGTGCGGTGCGTTCACTTCGTCAGCTGGATTCGTCGGTCCCTCCTTTCTATATTTTTGATTGATGGAATATTGGAATGTTACTGGAAAATCCCAGCCCGGCATGTGTCATTGTTCTTTTGACCTCTTGCTTTTACACGCCACAGCTTTAAATCTTTTTAAACAAAAGGTGGGTCTTTGTAATGTGTGCTTTTCACCTTCAAATGCGAACTCATGGACAAGAGTGGATCGCCTGAAATCTTTACGTTACAGGTGTTTCATTTTCGAGACAAGTGAGGTCTCATCTGGATTTCTATACACAATATACAGTAACCCGTGGGACATCAAAGCGACGCACGCGCTTACAGCCATCTGTGTGTTGTGCTGTCAGAGTTACATCAGCTTGTCTGCCAAAAGGTAGAGTGTATGGTACGTTTGTGTAAGCACTCCTCTGCGGTTTGGATACCCGGCCTCTGTGACGTAGATGCACACAAACCTTCGTTCTTCGACCATCGTTGCATCATCCAGCCGGCTTATAGCAGGCACACTGGTCGCTGAGATAAGGGGACAATACGTAAGCATGTGTTGGGCTGTGGGTCTTGTTTTCTCCTGGTGGTTGATCAAGTGAAGAGGCGTAGTCTGACCACAAGGGAGTTTCCTTCTAATGTTGAGCGGATGGCTCATGCTGTAGTCGAAACGGCTAGGACGGTTCTTAGACTGTTTACGGGGTATGACCGTGCAGCTTGATACAATGGGTAGAGGTCAGGCAATAGCTCCTATCAGTGGTTTACAACTTTCTGGATATGAATTGTCGTAGTCATTGGCGAACTAGCATCCACACCCTCACCAGCTTACTCCACCTTACGTTTCCTGATGTTCTTTTTTCGGCTACGGCTGACCGACTGTTTATGATTTATTTACTGCCTAAGTATTGCACATCATTCCAGGGCATTTTATTTTAACTTGTTCATCGTCGGCCTTTGTGAGCCTAAAGCGTTTCTGACCGCATTGTTTTCCTAGCTTTCTACACTGCGGAATGGAGCCTGTTTCAATCAATGTTGATCAATGAAGCATTATTCATATCATCAACACTCGCTCTTGGGTTGTTCCTGTTCGTGTAAGTGTACGTATTGTGATGCAACGATGCAACCCATTTTCGTCTTGTTTCACAGTTTTACACTTTGCATTGCCTTTCTAACTTACATGCAGCTCAACGACAGGAGGCCTCCATGTAAATTATCCCATTCAAGATCTAGCCTAGTGGGTCACACGTCTGAGGTGATTCCGTTTTTTCGGCGTGGTTTTTTTTCCGCGCAGCTTACAGTTCGTTCGGCCCCGAAATTCTCATCGCTTTAATGAGCTGGATTCTCGGATCCTACATATTCCCAGATCTTATTGTTTTCAGCTTGGTTTCCTGATGATCGTGTGGACGATCATCGCGTACACTTCACGTATGTCACGAAGACAACCTCCTCAGTGCTGTTTATTGCTAGTCTCTTATGAGCTAGATGTTTGCAGTTGTGTCGAGGAGATGAGCTGTCAACTGCGTTCCGAACTTCAGAGTGTGTAATCCAAGATTCTAATAGATGGGCAACCAGTAGCGCATCTGTACAAAGTCAGCTTATGCTAAATACTACCACGAAAAGTGCCGGAGTAATTAATATTTTGTGACATTTCAAAGAATGTCTCGGCATATTGGAAAATATAAGCGTGGAGATGTATAACTGGAGTAGCGTCTTCGTTCCGTTGAGCATCCCATGAACAACATACGGGTGAAGCATACGCCCAAAGCATTATGTCATTGCACGGCTGTCGTGACGATGAGGGCGATGACGACCACTTCATGTATCCACTGATTCATTTGAAGTGAATGATCTACTGTGGGATGTAGACCAATCCAGGTTCCACCGCTCCTTCGGAAGCAAAACAAACCCATGGTGACGGTTCTACTCCCTTGACCCAAGGACAGGGGCGCTTCCGTTAACGAGCACTTATTCGCAAGGACGGTGACATAAATCATGCCACTGATCAACTTGCAAAGACAGGGCAGTTCGCAGCACTAGGAAGGACTTTGTGATGATGGTGAAATGAGAACGAGCGTCCAACTTGCTGACCTCATTTTTCTTTTCGACCCGGTACCAGCCATGCGCAATGAATTTTCGTCTCCGTTGACTTGAGAGCTTGATCCCATGAATGAAGATTACTGTAAAGCCCACGGAGTGAGTTTTTGGAATTAGGGGTAGATGGAACACTTTTCGATTCGTGAATATTTTCGTTGACGATCTGAGGATTTAAAGACTTCGTTATGTAAGTAAACTTAGTCTGTGGTACAAACCACGAAGCACTGTATAGCTGTTTCTTCCTCAGTGGTAGTCATCAGCACTACGCATCGCACGAATCACGAGGCTAATAGAAAATTGCGACCTCCCAGCTTAACAGATCGGTTACGAACATCTTACCAGCCGTGTAATTAACTCACACGTAGACAAGATAGAATGCCGCTCATCCTTTAGTCGTGGAATTCAAACCACCTAGTCATGTGTTGATTAGCTCATCTCTTCTCAGAGTAAAGGCTCACTTGTCGTGTGGAACATTCCTCCTTCTGAGTTACTCACAGATTGGCTGTTTTATTTGCCAAGTTCGGTAATTAACTTGCAAACGCTCGTCACGAAGAGACACCATCAGTGCGCTGTTGGTTAGCACTTGGTAGCACTTCTCCACATGTGTTCCTATGGGTTTTGAAAAGCATCCATTATCTCGTGAGTTCATTAGTTCGTTTGCGATCCATTCTGCGTCGTGGTATGCCTTCCTTTGATTTGACTGGTAGTTTAGATACCTTCTATTTCACTTGTCCTGTTATATCTAACTGCTGTCCCCGCTTCAGTGCCCTTGTGTCGGAAAAGAGACTGGCCAACAAGGAACACAACTGCTTCATTGCAACAGGAGAGTGCAAAAGTTACGACGGCCTCGTGCCATATGAAGGGTACTTTTAGACACTGATCCGCCATTAGTGATTGCCCATCAACATCGACAGTTCCTTTATGAGATGCCTGGACACTTACCATACTCGGTCATGCTTCTGTGGCGTGCCTGAACACTCATGGGCTTTTGCTGAATTAATTGAGTGATTGACTGGCTTAGATACTTGCCGGCTTCCCAGTTGAGATTTTCGTGGAGTTTTAGGGTCTCAGTAAGTTCCGGGCATTTTGGGGTTATTTTCAGGAATCTGGCCTTCCCGACAAGTTCTCTTTGCTTGTCCCGATGACCACTTTCTCAGTTTGAATTGCGTTTCGGTTTGATAGCCCGTTTGGTTGAATGATCGCACTGTCCGGTTTTCTCAATTGCTGATGCCTGTTCGCGCAAGTTAGTCTTCAGGCTCGACGAAGAGATCGGAAGCCACTTGGTCAGCGACCAGCAAATTCAGATGGAAGCAGACGTCCAGAAACTAGAACATTATGAAAATTATTGTTCCAGGTCTGTACTGTAATGCATATCAACGAGACACTAACTTGTGCTTTTTCGATATTTTATCTGATAAGGGATAGTCCTGGCATCCTTACGAAATGGCTTCTACACGTGGATGGTCGTTTTTGTTTTTGTCTTTCTCTGCCAGTCTACACCCTTAGCCTAACTGCCCATGGCATCGATACCTACGTTGTCATAGTGTTTTTGGCGTATCGTTAACCGTTTTCAAGCCGTTTCGTGTGTGAGAAAATAGATGCGAGTGGTGGTAATGGGTGGGGGGAAGACTGAACCTTCCCCCGTGAGAACCTGTACCATTGGCACACTAACGCATCTGACCATTACACCGCAATGCTTAGGCGGCTATTCATCTGATATCAATGTACTCTTCTGTGCAAAGCCCCAGCCCAGTTCGTATTGTTAAGTTCCCGGTACATGTTCTCGCGCACTCTTAAACGCAGCTGTGCGCTGAACTGCACTAGTAACCCTTTTGTAGCCTGCAGTTTTGCCCACTCCTAGTCTACTGACCACTCCACTCATCCTATCTTACCACCTCGGTCACACATGAACTTTCATTTTAGAACAGTTTCCGTGTCGTTCCTGACCTCATTTAATGTATGAATCAAATACAATCTGATGGTATTGACGTAAAAACGCGTGGACAAGGAGATGCCTCTATTTACCATCCATCCTGTGTGGTAAGCAAACTATGCACTCTCCAAAGCGTAATCGGCTGGCCCAGAGCAAATGTAGAGTTTTGAGGACGCTTTGATATCCAGGTGACTGATAGCTCCTACCAAACTGACGGCTAAGAACCACACCACTTTTTATGTGCTAAACCTCGAAGGGTTGGGTGTTAGTTAGTAGTTTCCCCTACGGTGATAAGACTTTGATATACCAGTTGTTACCTTTTGGTCACTCTGGTCATTCACCTAAGCAGTGCATTGAGAAACTTCTCATTACGATATTACACAGCAATCACCCATAGCCTGTGATCAGTCAGCCGAGCTTGTTAGCTTATCAACACTGTTCAACCTCTCCGGGCGACGTGTAAAAGTTCCAGGCCTGCAGCGAACTTTTTACTGAACGTTACTCACGAATTTCAATAAATTATTGCCTACACACACCTAATCATTAAGACCGTGTATTTAGACGTTCTTAAACAATGGATTTACGGACAGACTTTGGACTTATCTGAAAGTAATATCCTTTTTGCTTATCACATCAACACACAACACAAGCCTTTTTCCTCTGCCAGAAAGTCAAAAGCACTTTCTGCTTGACGTCACCAAAGTTTGTTTGGCGTTTTAACCATGTGTGCATTCAGCCGTCTGGAATTGCTGACAGTTTTCAGCAACGAATGGTTTTTGGGTTTAGGGTGTGATTAACTTAACTGTTTCGCCGTTGAGCTCAATAGTTCATTCCTCTTTCGGAAGGAACTTGTTCCTCAGGAGATCTTTCTATGCTAGACTGCAAAATCGACGCTTTATTACCGATTCCATATTAACTGCATTTGTGATTATTTTTACTAACTTACATCGCTCATTCATCTTGAACCATTTAGGATAGCTTTCTGTTTGAGTTCACTATTGAATACAGTTTCAAATTTGCCATCTTACGCTTCCCTTTTCTGGATGAGTACCCTGTTTAACAAAAGCAGACCTTCTCAGGCAGAGGTCTTCCCGTAATTCCCGTAATTCGTACATGATTCTCGTTGCTGAGGTGTAATTTATGATGGTCTTTTTTGCTTGTTTTATACTTTTGTTAGTTTTTCAAGAGCATGACTCCATGCATGCTCATTTCTCTATTGCAGTTTGCATTTGAAAAACAAAAGACACAAGCCCGTCAACCTTGCGACCAATGACAGTGGGTTTCTTTCAACAGACTTTCTCAACTTATGTGTGGTTGCCCCGGCCGTAACCAAAACACTGCTGATTGGTGTGAATCGGTTGGAATATTTTGAGAGGTCTATGTCTTTCTTGTCTCCTGTTGTACATCAACGGATACGTTATGAAAAAGGTGCAATACTTGGTATCTACATGACAATTGTTGGCCTGGTCTCCGGTTCGCGTATCCTAGATGGTTTCACAAAATGTTCCGCTTATTTGGTTCACCGAACTGGTATCCTCTGGACCAACCATAATGGAACGGTTAGTTTCAGTGTTGAGTTTTCTCTTCAGTACTATTCAAGACGAAAACCTTTTTAAGCGATGGGGTCGTGGATTTAACGATTTGGTCGATTGCAGTTCTAGTTTTGTCTATATTATGCCAATCGCACCACATGTTATTCCATTGACCCACCGCATCGTTCCAGCTATGCGATTGTCTCACTTATGAGCTAAACAATAAGTGGTTCAAAACACACTTCGTCCAACTGGAATGAGATCGAATAAATATATCATTGTATGGCAGTTCCCTTTTACGAGAACGCCTATCGGATCGACTAAAATCGTCCTCTCGTCCAAAGATTTCTTTGATGAGGAGTTCAGGGTTCTCACTCACAAGTAGTTCAGGCATTAGTTTTAGAGTTGGTTGTTTAATTTTTCGGTCACGGGTTCACGGTGATGACCTAGTTTGCATTATTTCCCCTTTTGACCAGATTTTACAGTACGAGTTGAATGTGGACCTTTGCATTGATTGCCGCTAAATGCCCTTTTCGCATAGTCTGCACTGACCGCACTTTCACGGGGTTCTTTTATGCCCATTCAGGTCTGTGACCGTCTTTTGTAATCTAGGCTGTTGAACTGTACTGACTTATGTTGGAATGGTTGTTCAGCAAGTATCTTCTGAATGTTGTATCATCTGATCGGTCCTCTTACCGTTGCTTGCGCCCTTATCGCCAAATTAGTGAATCGTGAGCTGTGGTCCACGTTGTGGTCAGCAGGAGATTCGGTTTCGTTCCTTTCGGTGGACTAGAAAAGTATCTCCCAAATTAAATTGTGAGTGGCTTATTCTTAAGCAACATGTGGGTAGTCCGGACAGAAATATCAGCTCAGTTTTGTTTCACTGCGATTATTTTGAGCGCTATGGAGTATACTGCTAAAATTTGTCGTGCAGTGTAACCTTATCGGGTCTTCTGACTCTGATCCATTTCACTGATAACAGCACTACACACTTAGATGTGGAAACAGCCCACATTATAATTTGTATAAGATTGTGGTACCCGACAATTCATTTGTCACCTCACCAGTCATCACATCCCTGTGATGCCCCTGGATGTCCCTCTGTTGATCAAGAAGGTGTCACATTTCATTGAGTCAAAAATGGCGAAATCTCATCAAGTGAATTCGATAAACAAAGGACCAAAATATTTTACAAGCCTGAAAACTGTCGTAGCCGACGGTACCTTGACTTGCATGGGTGTTGCATTCGAAAGACAAAGTGATTTCTTGGTTCAATGTTCCGCATTCTGAGCGAAAAGAAAGCTAGTCAGGGGTAACAGTTTATGCGGCAAAGCTTATGTAGTGGATTTTGCCCGTCTGCGGTAATCGAGGCGTCGTAAAGTCGACATAGGTGCATCGAGCATTGGAGAGATTTTGATTTAGGGCCAACATTATTCCCGAAGGACGTAGCGACCCTGTCCTAAACGATTAGGATTTAATCGTGAAATAGTTCGGTCCATGCCTGGCGTTTTGTAAACGCTGAAGGCTGTCCTACCTGAATCTTCTCATGTACCCTAATGACGAGCAAAATGACGGGTTACTCGTCATTTTGCACACTGATAATTATTGATAAATGGATCGAGTTGGCTGGTGTAGGGCACCGGTGTTACTGGTTACGAACTAATTCTTCATATCCTGCGCTCTCCGTTGTTCAGGTCTTTTTGCCATTTCATATTCAGCTCTTGAGTGGCTTTTACTTACTGGTATGGTGCAGTACAGATCACGACCGGTTTTGTCCTTCTCGGGGCTCATCAGGTAGGTGCGGTTCTTCTTGAACCCAAATTGTACAGATTTCGACAAATACACGCATTTGGATATCACTTTGGGTTTCACGAGAGACTCAACTGGATCTCGCGTTTGTGATGTTCTTCAACTTTGGGCGGTCTTTTGCAGCACATTCATTTGAAGAATACCATATAGGAGAGATTCAGTTGAGTCTCTTGTGAGAACCAAAGACCTTTAAACTCCAATTAAAACACTCACTATTCACGTTGGCTGTGGTATCCATCAACTCACCCTTTGTCTTTTCGACGACCATTCTTCTTGTGTCAACACTGGCTCTGATCGATTTTCTCTCTTCCTCCTGCTTCAGTTCGAACAAATTTTTGGACAAACCGGACTCTTCTTGTATTTCGAACTTTCAATCTACCTTTTCTGGCCTAGCATCATGCGAATACTGTTCGGAACTGTACCGTCAGGTTGTGTAGCTTTCCGTAAGTGATTAACGAACGCGTTGTGGACTGTGGCTTGATTGATGTTCCTTATGAGTAATGTGGTGTGCCCTGTTTGCTCGGTTGGCCGGTGTCACTGTAGCTTTAGGATATAACTGAAGGTCTATGGGTTTTCGGACCAAAAGGTAGGTTTTGCCTAGCATTCTCGTCACTAAAATTTGTGCGACTGAGTCGCTATTGCAAGACCCCACAGTGTGTCTGGCTCTCGCACCACTAATTCACTTACTTGTTTGCCCCTTTTATGATATTTTTAATTTACTTCTCAGTTGTCACTTTTGAGTAGGATGTGTTTAAGTTTACACACTGAATGCTTTATTCTAAGTTTGCGTGAGATGATCCCTCTCGCTGCGTCAATTAACAGTTGTTTCGCATTGTGGTAGGCCATACTTACTCTAAGGATGGTTTCCGTTCTGTTGGTGTTGGACTTTGACTGTTCCATTCTTGCGAAGTCCCTCATTTAAGAACCCTCTCCATAGTCCTTTTCCCTGGCCAACTGTGTTGCGAACATTCCCGATAGGGACCTTTGAATCATGCGTGAGTTCGATAATCCCGAATATCAAAAGGGAGCATTCGGTTAGAAATTCTACGGTACTATTACTCAAGGGTAATCAAAGTTATACAGCAACACCCTCAATTATCCACGTTCGTAGCGTTAACAAGACAGCCGCTGACCGGCGCAATTCAGTTTCGACGGTCGCACACCAAACAACGATGAGCAGAGAGTCGGCTCAGTAGTGCGGTTGCGGATCGCACACCAAACAGAGAGTCGGCTCAGTAGTGCGGTTGCGGCCATTTCTTCCGGCGGTTATCGTGTTTCTCATTGGCGGTGCGATCACGCGGAGCCATGGGAAAACAAGTCAGGACAGGTTCAGCAAGCGGGACACGGATGTGCCTGGATAAGTTGGTCAGCTACGCACGTTCGCGCACGACGCATGCCAATACACAAGTGTCGGACGGGACGGCCTTTGCGGCAAGGTGACTGGCGGGTGCAGATGAGCAAAACATGACATAGATGAATGGGAAAGTATCATGAGGTTCAGTTCAATACCGGTACAGTGTAGTGTCAAGGTCCTCAAACCTGACAACAGCGAGCGGAATATTGTCCCGGCGGTGCTGATTGCGTCGTCGCCTCCGAAACCAGTTTCGTGATTTGGATTGGCGGTGCGATCCCACGACAGTTCAAGTTAGAGCAGGCTGAGCAGAAGAGGCACGAACACTCGTGCGTCAGCCGCGCACACCAACATCCCCATGCTAACATAGCAGTGCCAGGTCGGCCTTTGTGGCAAGGTGAGTAGGGATGGACAGATCAGGTGGAGATCGAAAGTACATGTGCCGAGTGAGCAAACAGACGGGGGTATTAGATTCGGCATGTGTGCATTTTTTTTCGTTCATAATACGTCTGCATGATCTGAGCGATCGGTAACTCAGTAAAAGAAAGATGCAGCGTATTTTTATGTTTGTTAAACGTTTTACAGAGTTATTGAGCGTTGCGTCTAAGCCTGTTATCCAGATCAGTTGTCCCCTGTGTCTGCACGGTGATGCTGAGTTGCTCTGGTGTTTCTAAACCGTGCTTGACGTTCAAGGGCTCAACATTTTGTCCAAATAAACGTTTTTTACTTAATGCTGCGTGGAACTAAAAAACTGTTGGGTTTAGGTGATGCTGGATTAAAGCCTTTAGCGATACAAGCGGCCGTCTCTCAAAAAATAATATCGGGTCCAGACGCTTCACTGGTTCCTGAACTGAGCGGAATTTGATTTGAACAGGTGTGTTTGGTTTCTAAACTCTTCACTTCTAAATTGCACTTAGGTTTACCAGTGACCGATTTAGAGAGTAGGTGGTGCTAACTATGGAGCTAAAGTCTGCTATGGTCAGCTGCACTGCGTGGTTGAAAGTTTTACCTACGACCTACGATTTATTATCAATTTGACCTCTTCTATGTACTGAACGTGCGTCTCTTGATTTGGTTCCATACAGAATCCGCCTTACTTCTCACTGGCATTTCGCTCTACCTGTCCCCACGACTGAACGGACCGGTGCAATCAAAACTGGTTGGAGCTCAAAGCGCGATACGCAACAGTGCTCGGCATTGTGTAGTCGCGGCATTTTTTCTGCTTGGTGCCTTAGTGCTTCTTGGAAGTGTCTCTTCTGCCGGCTGGACGTACGTTTCGGCTTTTTTAGAAAAATGCTTCCGTAGCTGCCCCTGTAGCTCGATCATTTTATCACAGTGTAACCTGAGGTCTGAACTTTTCGCTATCCTGTCTTGATACCACACCGTGAATTTCGGTCTGTTCATAGATTACTTACATTTTTTAAATTTTTTTTGTCACTGACAAAGTTTCCGGAACGGCACAAATTATTTTATTCTTCAATCATGCTTAGTTAGGTTCAATTGCACGTTGCTTTTCTATTCCAGTTTTGTAGTGGTTAGTACCGAGCGATAGCTTCTGTCTTACTTTGTAATTCCGATCCTCTGGTTCAATTTCATAGCGAAAGATTAGGCCGTATATAGAGCTTTTGGGTGGCATCTTTACAGTACTATCAGTAACGACCGATATCCATGACACTTTCCAATGGCATCATTTTGTCATCAATTTCACTTATAGTTTTTCGGATAATGCAAGAAAAACTCGAAGGCAACTGAATTCCTGCTAGAAGATATCCGTTCGGTGTTTTTGTTGCTTGGTCGCTTCTCCTACCAAGTGATGTCAATCATTAATTCATTTATAGAGCGACAGTGATCTGATTTCACGGGTTTGTCGCAAATGAACTATGGGGTCCTCTTGACTGCAATACTAACGATCCTCCTTTGACACGTCAGTGTGGCTGTACATAGTAATAAAAAGTCGGAGGTTGTTAGTCTTCCCACGACAATATGACCGACTTCGTAATGGGGACTGGGTACTGTATTATCAGTCCGGCCCAAAGCATAATGGATTGCTTGTCACACCGATTGCCTCCTTCCTGTATAGTGGAAATCTCCAAGTCCAACGCCCATCAAGCCCTCCACGCGGATCACCAAAGGTCTTTCTTTTCAAATATCATTTCTTACATTATCCACCTAATGTATTCTACGTATGGCACTTGTTTAAAGCCACGAAATATTGGAGATATACCCGCTAGATCTCAAAGACCTTGGAGCGTTAACACTGCAAACCATTGATGGTTTCTAGGGTGTCTGGCGGTTGATTAGGCGGTGAAAAGTTTCTGAAGTAAACTCGCTTGTTGGCGAAATACACACACTTACAGGCATGCTACCTAAGCGCCGTACACTTCGGATGCTGCACGAAGAGAAAATCAGCTGATGGACTCTACTTCTATCTGCTACCAAACCACCTGACTTAATCCTGCCACCTTGACGTGGTGATCAGGCTTGAGTGCTGCATTGATCCTATGGGCTTCATCGACTGGAACTTCGTCCCACAAGTGCAGCAGTACCAGGAATTTCAAAGGGGAGCATTCAGACCAAGAGGAGCCTGGCCCCGAGTAATCGTAGTACGAGGCGATGTGGGCGGTAAAGTCGTACTGTCCTCGGCGGTAGGAAAGTGTAGGCACTGTGTTTCCTCCAGGTGATCATCATGTCCTTATTCATAGAAGTAGCGACGTTACCTTCCTTTGAGGAAGGACGGCTTACAAAATGTCGGTCCTAAAATGCCTCACACCGATCGCCCAAAGGTTGACCGTGACCACCAACACACTACTCAATACGGTCGGCGTATGCCCCAATGGATTGCTGATGGATGGAGAGAAGTATACTTTCCATCGAGGTTTATTCGGGATCATTAGTCGAAGAAGAATATCTGAGATTGTGATCCTTGCGCGCGATGTGAATGCCCAAGCCAGTCGTCTGAGCACTTTCAACTTACATCTGGGCGTTCGCATCGAGGTCCATGTTCGTCGCGCAGACAACGGATGGCGGCTCATCCTATTGTGTGTTGATCATCAACTGTTTCTCAACGGCGCGAATTTTCTGCATAAACGTTCGCATCGCGTAACCTGGATGCCACCAAGTTCAAATCAACCATGGACTTAGTTAGATCACGAGGCTATCAGCCACCGATTGAGAGTCATAATTCAAAACTGCCGTTCCTTCCGAGGCGTACAACTCGATACCAATCGCGTCATGGTGCGTGCCCGCCTAACAGTTCGTTACGGCCAGAAACATCTTAATCTACCACCATCTCCGGGAAACTACCATAGCTCAACAGTATCGACCCGAGCCAGCTCAACAACTTTCTACAGTGAATCAATAGTCTACTAGTGGTGAGCACATGGATGAAGCATAGCAAGCTGTGGTAGGATCTGTGCTAGCGGCGTTCAGCGTTGTCGATTTGACCACAGGATATCGTAGAGATCGCTAGTCATGACTGATGCCAGTTAATCCATACTAACAGACAACGAGCACCACGGCCCACGCAAACCTCTCAAACGCCAGATGGTGGAGAGTCTAAGGAAAGACCGAGAGCTGTTGCTACCGGAAACAGCTGTGCCCCATATCAAATAGTACGATCGAATGGCCCTAGGAAAGCAACGGTCAGTGAAACGAAAAGTGAAAAAGGCGGCTCATTAATTCACTTGCAAAAACGGCGACTTGGAAGAACAAACAAAGAACAATTTGCATGATCTTTTGCAAACAACCTCTGAAGATAGTACATACGGATGATTGGAATGTAAACCTTAATCTTCTTTTGGAAGAAGAAATAAAGTAGAATATATCCGTAACAAAAAGTGAGCAGCCACCAGGACTGGACGGTCTGTGTCCAGTTCTCTTCAAAAAGGCGGTTTCCTAGTGACCTGTCAACCAAAGCTCATTGGTGCTCTATGGAATGAAGAGAAAGTGCCTGCAGAGTTGGGCATATCGACGGTCATTCATACCTTCAAAAAGGGTCCTTAGGCGCTGTGTGAAAACTACTTTCTCGTCAGCTTGGTAGCTGTGAAATCGAAGGTTCCCTCTGGTGTGATCCTTTGAAGAGACATTTCGTGTAAACCACTCTGGGTTTCGTCCTGTAAGAGGATGCATCGGATCACATCTTCATCCTCCGACAGATTGTGGAACACCGACACTTTTCAGCAACCAACAATGATTGTGTTCCTCGACTTAAAAGCTACCTTTGACTCTGTGGACCATCAGGCACTGTGACATCGTCAGTGGAGCGAAGGTGTCCAGCATGAATTCTTGATCCTCCCTAAGCCGCTGTACGCAAACTTACGCGGACGTGTGGCATTCTATGACAAGCTCTCTCCTGAGTTCACTGCAAGGCAGGCAAGACTGTTCTCTTTCGTGTGTTCTCTTCAACTTAGTCATCTATACGATTATGGAGAAATCAATACCGTCCGCTAATGCTTGGCTATTTGAAGTGCTCCTAGGTTATCCGCTCACAGATATCGAGTACACAGACGACATAGATGTTGTTGGATCTGATCGAAATAATTCTGCCTCATGGTTTAGCATGTGCCTCACATCTGCTAAGTGTAAAGTGCTGCTGTAAGTCTGATGGATTTGAATCCTAATCTCCTGCTTCAGGATGAACCGATTGAGGTAGTGAACAAATTTGTCCAGCTTGTCCAGTCCCGGTGGCGTCGGCAAATATGATATTTCCATCCGGATCGGGAAAACCAGAGCAGCTTTTGTGAACCTGTGGCTTAGGCATGACATCAGCTTGTCCTTCAAGAGTCGGGTTTACGATAGTGCATTGCTCTCTATATCATTGTATGGGTCGGAAACATGGACGCGCACTGAGGACGGCAAACGAGCTAGGGGAGGTCAAACAGTGACTTAGCACTGAAGTATGAAAGCCATTGTCAGCAAATTCAGCTACGCTCGTCATTGTTGACTTCCTAGATGGGGACTGTGAGACGGCACATGTCATTGTCAGACATCGCATAATCGCACCCTCAGTGGCATGCATTCATTTCGTTGCTTTCATTGCATAGCTGTTCTCCCAATTTCCCCAAAGAAGAGTCCATTGATATGCCTGTATTTACGCATCAATCATGTCAACTACCGCCTCCAATGTGCAGCTATCTGCTCCCCTCTTCAAATTATCGGGAGACGAAACTGTGGCAGCGAGAACCACTGTACGACAGGTACACGGTTTTTAATAGCTGGACTTTACTTGTTCGGCATGCTTCAGTTTTTGGCTGCTGGGTATACGCGTTGTACTCCGGTGAATAGAGCAGGTTGAAGCAATCTGTATTACGAAAATGTATTCAACTATTCAACTCNGAGAACCACTGTACGACAGGTACACGGTTTTTAATAGCTGGACTTTACTTGTTCGGCATGCTTCAGTTTTTGGCTGCTGGGTATACGCGTTGTACTCCGGTGAATAGAGCAGGTTGAAGCAATCTGTATTACGAAAATGTATTCAACTGTTCAACTCTTGGTTGTTTGCATTCCTAATGCAATTGTACCTCGGCATTCGGCGTCGTGAGTTTTTTTTTTGGTTAACGGTAGTGGTTGGATGCAGTTACGCTGCTCCCCTTTGTTTCGGGACTATTAAGCAGCTGTGAAATGAAGCGGATCAGGATAGTCAAATAAAGGGGCTTTGAGAACACAACCAAGGGCGTGATCCAATAACAGGCCAGACGCCATGTGGCATAGTAGTTTGGTCAGTATTGGGATGGGACGCGTGGGTGGACATCAATATGCTATGGGGACATACATTTTGGACAGTTTTAGGCTCACACTTTCAGTCTGGGTTACAGATTCACGAGTATGAGGTGTGCTCGTCTTCAAAAATCCCGTCGTTTTTCTAGGTAATAGGCGATTTTCGCTTAAAGCGTGTATGTCGTGGTCTTGATCGATATTCATTCCATCAGGATTGTTGTTAGCTCCTAGCGCAAACTTTTCAGTCGTTATGTGTGTCCATTGAAAGATTCAGGTCCGATTTCTGCTCATCTTGCTTACTTCTAGGTTAGCATGGTCAAGGCCGCGTTTTTACTGTTCTCCGGCGGTTTGAATTGTTCTAACTGAAATATATCCGGCCATAAATCAAACACATGTGTATGTAATTCAGTGTCTACGAGGTTCGACCCAACCATTCATGCCATTGTGCTGTACAAATCAGTGTAGCCGTGACCTTATGGATTGCTGGGTTACTCACACTAGTATCAATATTCGGTTGACAGTGCATGTATATTGTTCCTGTGGGTTGAACGACCAGGATCTCTGTGCATGTGAAAGGACATGACTCGTTCTCGCGTTCTGTTAGTTTGTTTGCTGTCATTTACTCATATTTATGTTGCCTCTATAGCTGTGTGACCTGTTTAGAATGGGTTTTTATCCGCTTGATCGTAATGATGTCTTACGGCTTAGTTACTGCTCCAAAAAGCCACCAAGCACTTCAATGAATCGTTGATCAGACGTGTGACTGAGGTATTAGTGGATTCAGCGCAGGGCTAAGTAACTGATGACTCACGTTATACTGCTCAGATGAAATGCCAACAAGTCAGATTTTCGGTTATCATCATCACGATCATCATGATCATCGACAGCATGACATCATTGTTCAACGCTGATGATTCTCTGATTTATTTGTAAGCCTTCTTGTGAAGAAAAGAATATAAGGGGATGGCGAATAGACTTAATGCTAGCTTACTTCAATCATTCCGAGGTTCCTACACCGCTAGACATTCATTCAGGCAATCTGAATAGAAACTTACAACAAGAACGCCACTGAAATCGATTAGTAGCAGCAACCAAACTCCGGGGTGTCACGCGGTCCCCATACCCCTCTGCCATGTTAAGGATTGGCCACCTCTCTGCTTCTGTCACTCTAAATGGGGCACAGAAAACAGCACTCTTCAGTAAACCATTTTTCAGCCTACACAGTACATGTCTCAACAAACGCAGCTTCTGGTACTGAACATATTCTTAAATGAAAGTACCCGTTGCACAATCGAACACTGGCTTTCTAACCGCCTCGTTACGGACTCGCCGATACCAACCCATACGATCTATGGTTCGGAGAAAACGATCGTTGAAGACCTGAAGACGTCTCAGTTCCGCCACTCGAATAGGCCAAACCGAACATGTGTACGACAAAACAACTCCTGCTGTAGCCTGATTGGGCACTCCCTTGAGATTCGCGGATATACACTTTTGACGCCGTAGGTTTCTCAAATCACCGAACGCGACTCCACCCTTGCTGATTCGTGCGTTGACTCATCTGTCACATTACAATCAGAATTATTACGACTTGCATGGTACATAAATCGCTCCACAAACGATCGGAAGTGGAACAGCGGTAATCTTGCGGTACACAGGTCCTACATGCGAGCCCATCGAAATACGGAGTTATCGCTGACTGGGTAGTTGAAATCGTCCTTCGTCCCTTGTGTTCACGATGACAACTAACTATCGGACTACACTGCGTTATGCGAAGGTATTCGAATCTCACCCTTCAGCCGAATCTGGATAATACTCGGGACATTATTGAAGGATTTCGACGATGCTCTCCCCTTTCGTTAGTCCGATTCTTCCTGTCTGGGGAACTATTAGAATAAAACGCGAATACGAAACAATCAAGGCCTCTCATTAATAGCGTGGACGATCACCATATAGGGTTGTTTTCCGCAAGCTCTCATTCGGTTGACATCGGAGTTATAACTTCCGTCAACTGAATACGAAACAATCAAGGCCTCTCGTTAATAGCGTGGACGATTACCATATAGGGTTGCTTTCCTCAAGCTCTCATTCAGTTGACATCGGAGTTATAACTTCCGTCAACTTATGTCTGAATATACTTTTGGAAAATTCTTGAGGCAGAATTCAATAGGAAATCCGATTCAGGGGAGGATCAATATGGTGGTGCTCATCACCCAATTTGTGCTTGTCAGACACTGTATTTTCCTAGATAGATAACTTGCTTTCCAGTCATTTATTCAGTTCTGGCAAGGTGACTCAGTGGTTAGACTGCGAATTTACTGACCGGAAGGTCCGTGGTTCGACCTCTGCGTCCCGACTTCCCCTGTCTAGGCTTGTGCGACCTGGCAGTATCCCAGCCCTCGTGCTTCTTTCGGGTTGCATGGCAGTTGGGCACCGAAAGGGTGTTACAGCTGGACGATTATTATTTCTTTATATTTTATTTTCTGATTGTTCACTGAGAGTTGAACCGTTCATTTCCACTTGCCCGGGCAGTTTGTTGAACCAGTCTGTGCCCTGCGCACACAAGTTGTAAGCGATTTACCGGTTCGTGGTGGAATGAATTCTTGAACCGGATAACCGTTTCCTAGATTGCGTCACAGCGATTTCTGCAGCACCCTTGTTCATTGATGAAATGCTACTTGTGTACCAAGCAGAGTCCTGTGCGTAACTCAGCAAGCGTTTATTGTTTTCGCTGGGGCGAGGTTGTCAGGTTGTCATCCGTTTCTCACGCGGTGTGTGATTATTTTCGTGTCCCAACGCACTGTCGGTCATACGCTTGATAATTGGACAGCAGCGTGGTTAATACGAATCCTAAGGCTTTGGGTAACATTAGTAACATCAAGTTAGTTCGCAGTTGCACACAGTCGCACCTTCGATGGGTATGTAAACACATCTTTCGAGTATCGTAGATTATTGTTGATGTTTCCAGACAAAAGTTGGACGACCAAGTATCATCCAACTTCCCTTGCCTTCACGACTTGCCGTATTACCATTGTAATTTGGGTAGTGGCCACTGTTTCGAGAAACAAATTCGTGGGCATTCAGACAGCTTTCCAGGATTGAGTGCTATCTTTATTGTTCAACTATCTGTTCCCACCGATTTTATGCCCAGGGCTAAGGGCTAATTAACTGATAGCGAGTTCGGAGAGACTCAATACTATACGACGCAGTACGTCATTGTGGTTTGTTACCATCAGAACAGGTTATCCTCGGTCTACGGTTGTTTTCACCTGGACCCTTCGAAGCGTAATACTTTGTGAGTATTTGTTATGATACACATTAAGAGTTGCTTAAAAGAACAGTAGCAACTCTGATTCCTATCGAAGTTCTTTTGGGGGTACATTTTAATGCATCTGTCGTTTCTCTTTCTCTCTCAGTTTGCTTCTTCTATTGGTCGGCGTCCCTGCTACAGTCTATGTCATTGTGTGTTTGGCTACATCCATGGCACTCAAAAAAGATAATATTTTGGTGGCATTTCGTTACAATTGGATTATTTCTTCGATGGAGTGGGGCCTGTTGCTAGGCCTCGTGTTGTCTGTTCTCTTTGTACGGGTAAGCGCGCATTTTTGAGTTTGATCCATCTGTTCTAGGGCGATACCGATTCATAAGTTTATTGGAACATTTGTGCACTGCTTTTCGGTTATCCATAGGTGGACGTTGCTTCATGTGACGAATCTCGACACTGAAATCCTGAAGAAAAAGTACTCCGTGTACCGTCGTGTGATGTATATGATTTCATTGCATTGTCAGTAGAAACGCAGACAAGCTTAATCTCTGTCTCACTTTCGTAACATGTGTTGGTCATTAATGCAAACGACGAACGAGAAACATAGACTGCAGTTTCCCGATCGACCGATAGATCGATTCAAAAACACCCTGATTCTCACACCATGTGTCCTTTCGTGCGCCAATTTTTCCACCATGTAAGCGCACCAGGTTAGCATTGCCAACCTCGTGGGAGTGTAGAATTCAGCATCTATTACCCTAATTCTCGTGACAAAGATCCCTATAAGCCGCACAGGTTTTCAACGGGTGACAAGTCCTCGTGAATATGAAAGAGAAAACATTCTACTTGCTTCCTCGTTTTTATTCAGCAAACGGTTCACTCTACTGAGTGCTCCTAAGCTTTTATCTTCCGTATTTCAGATAGCTTGAAGGGCTGTAGATTTTCGACCCACGACCGGACAGGAGATCCATGGTTGCTCATGATTCATGGCATATTAAGTAGTGTAATATGCTCAATAAATGAATCTGAGAAAAACTAAAGGTTGTCACTGTGCTAGGTTACTCATCGTACACCTACGCATGATATTGACACTGCAAACTTGAATAACCTCAATTTAATGTTTATTTCTTCCGAAAAGCTGGTCCGCTTTCATCCTCCAGTTATTCCAGAGATCACCTAAAATGTCGCTTAAGTTTCTGTTTCCGGTTGGCGAACTTTGTTTTAGAAACGACCAATTTGCCTCCTCCTATTACAGAAAGTTCTACATGAGAAAGAGGTTAGGGCGCAAATCCGAATTTCCCGTATTGGCCAAATCTAGAGATCGCGTGATTCCAAAATCTCTACTTCGAAACACTGTAATGAAAGCCTCTTGATTTGTGGAATTCTCTTGGGCGATTCGGCGGCAGTTGTTTCAGTTAACCTAGATGTAGAGCAGCTGAATCAGCAGCCTTGGTAACCGGGATCCACTGTCGTACTACGTGTCGTTGTCATCTTAGGTCGTTTTTCACACTTGGCGAGATCTTCAGCCTACCTGACTGAGTCAAAATTCTTGAACAGTTGTTCCTCAGCAAACGAAATCAGGCAAACTAGGGCGGAAACCATCCTGAGAGGAGATAGCCTGCTGCAGACTGCTTATCGACACAGCTGGGGCGTCGTGCATTTAGTTTCTGTGGTGGACTGAAAATGTTTAGACAGTACTACTGTAGTCTGATAGTACCAAACTTATACCGTACATCTTCATTGCTGCCTTGAGGACGTCCACGTTTCACCTCGTATACTTTGATACTCTTCAAGTTGGCATCTCTCGCTCGTACTTTTGACCTATGCATTAGGGATATCCTATTGTTTAACAACCGAACTGGGTGTGAAAATGCTGTTTCCCCTGCTTGAATTCATTCACTCCTACCCCGAACGGCCTTCGTAAAGCGTTAAACTGAACGTCCCTAGGCATCAGGAAGACCACTTGAAGGCCTTCAAACAGGCCCGCTACTAGTCCTGTTTTCGTATAGCCTTTCTGCTCATGGACGGCGTACATTCCACCTGTGAAGAATCTTTTGGTCTGGATACTCAGGTTCAGTCGCTCCCCATAGTGCCATCTCGCGTTTGACTTGTCGGGTCGTTCCGCAGTTATTTTGATTACACGTGCTCTTCATGACCTAAAAAATCTAACATTCTGAATCTCCAGTCCTTTCAATATTTAACTAAATGCACTAAACGTCCTAGAATTTCTTTTGCAAATATTTCAAAACACTTGGTCGTTCTGCCACGACATCTTTGGACGAAATCGTCCATGTCACGTCCTGAGCCTTTTCACCCCCTTCCACTGGTTTCAAGTTTGAACTTTTATCAGGACCTACTTCAATGTTCAAAAACCTATTACACTGATTGGGGTAGATCCAGCCGAGTGCCTCTGTTGCGGCGCGGTGTTTTTGGAATTATTAGCTAGGTTACTGCCTACTTCAGTGTTCAAAAACCTACTCCGGTATATTACACTGATTGGGGTAGATCCAACCGAGTGCCTCTGTTGCGGCGCGGTGTGTTTTTGGAATTATTAGCTAGGTTACTGGTATACTATCTTTTGCGGCTCACAAAAAATGGACCATAGTAAATTCCTACTGGCTGAATAAATCCATTATCCTTCTTTTCTTCCACTCAGATGGACTTGACACTTCTTGGCATACCATCACTCTTCTGCTCCGTCCTTTATGCGACGTGCATATGCCTTCTTACTCAAGCACGATTCTCCGATTCTCTTCGAGAAGCGATGGAACCTAGTCAGCCTGACTTGCTGCCCATTCTGACCTTGAGATCGGATGAATCAAAGAAATTGCAAATGTTCCTACTACGCGCCAGAACACGCTTCATGTTGATGAAGTATGTACCTAGTGCAATCGCTTTCACTTTTTTCAACATAACCTTACATTGCAGTATGCACTCTCAGTTGAATACACCCCGGTCTCCAAAGGCTCAACCTTAGTTCTAGTTCATCCGTTAAACTGTTCCACTTAGGCCAGTTTATTCCCCCTTGCTTTTGGGGATTCATTTGTCAACAGGATTGGGTTTGTTCCGTCAACAACCAAGTAAAACTATTTGGAATCTTACTGACCGCAAAACCAATGCACACACAAACACATGCTACTCTGCGTTAGAGTTTTGGTCACCTTTACAACTAGACACAAACCCATTCAATTTTGTTCATATCCATCACTGGTTATGAGTTATATGTTGTGTGCGAAAACCACTAAAGGTCACACAGGGTTGACTACGCTTTAAGTTAAATAGCATAATCACTGTCACCGGTGTAAGCACACCGTAAGCACGTTACCTATCTCGTGGTTGTTGTGCCATCATCTATGTAATTTAGAGTCACACAAGCTAACCTGTGCAGGTAGATTTATGTGACGCATCGTGCTCATCACTGGCGGAACAGTGACTTGGGTCAGCGGACCTTCGCGTGGTGGAGTGCGTTCCGTGCGCTTCATCCAGCGCGCACTTAGGGCTAATCCCAGACGGGTTTCCTCTGCTCTCTGGGGTAAGTGGTTGGTTCAGTTTTGTACTGTGTGACACTGGTTTGTTCAATCCATTTCAACGCATTACTTACTTCATAGACGGACCACTTTCTGTTTAAAAGTGGATCGACCGTCTAGTTCAGTTTATCAAGCAGTGCAACTTACTGTGGTTCCGGTCCACACTTTATTTGTTTGCTTGTATTATCAACTTGGAAAGTCCATAAAACCAGCCTGGTTTCAAATTGCTGATTAACGCAGAGTTTTCGACGGTGCTTCGTTGCATTCAGAAATCTGGTTTCTCAAAGTAGAATGTATCAAAAATGGTGCGTTGTCCTCATCTTGTGAAAGCAGATGTCGAGCTCTGCCGGATGTTTTTAGGTTAGATTACTCACGCACCATAGATTAGTTGATACGAGAGTCTGGTCATGTGTTTCGAACCATCTGTCTGATAGAGTTTCTCCCGCCAAGCATTCACAAGATGGAAACTAGTCCAATGTGAACAGTTTACTCCTAGCAGGAAACGTGAATGCCATTACCAGCACACTCAGTTTCGCTAACAGCTGTCGTCACCCCCGATGGTTATTTCGAGACGGGCCACAGTAACGGTTGACGACTTTGACAGACAGAACCTAGCCATATCATACTCGATGGTGTCGGTGCACCGGAGCTATCGAGACCTTACTTTAGGGCTAGACAGTTCCTGAACCCTATCATCTGCGAGCTGCTTCGTCATACCTGGATGAATATTTTGTTGTTTTGAGCTGTCGCATCCTGTGTGCAGTTCTGGGGTCCAAATTCATTATTCCCCAGCAAGCAAATTGTGGTAGTAGCAGACACGGTGCAGCTTATTTGCTGATGATGTTGAATACTACAATGATTATGGCAGTGGAACACCGGAATCACAGTAAACAAGATTAATGGTGGACGAGTAGCTACGGTGGCAGTACTGGTTACTCAACATGACGGTCACTGATAGTAACTGAGTAACTCGTGAGGATAATCAATTGACAATCGGGTTAAGCATGACTGCGCCTATCTGATGACCCTCAAATAGGGTGAAACCGGTCGTGGGTTGTCGTAGGGTTTTCAGCAACCTAGTGAGTAGTTCCCTTTATGAAAATATACTGTGATATCTCGAGTAGCGTGCCAACTGAAACATGAGGCAGCACATTCAATTGAAGAATATTATGAACGAAAGATTCAGTTGAGTCTCTCGTAAAAACCCGATTGATTTGCAACTGAGTGTGTTTCTCGGAAACAGTCCAATTTGGGTTCAAGTAAAACATAAAGTTGTCGGGAACTCGGGGACTGCGCTCATTTGATGAGCCTCAATTAGGGCAAAACTGGTCGTGGGCTGTCGACGAGTTTTCAGCAACTTTGTGAGTAGTTTCCTTTCCGCTATTTAAGTCATCCAACACTCGGTCGACTTGAAGCCGTTATGAGGCTACAGAATCTCACTTACACTGTTTTTACAGGTTACTCTGTGTGAACTCATTACTCTAGCGCTACTTTCCAACTATCATATCTTCCAGGGAAGTGCTTTGTTTGCTTCCACTAGCCTCCGTCACCACAGATGAAAGTTCTTGCAGCATTTTATCTAGAATAGCGTATGCTCTCAGGGCAATGTTCAATTGACGGGACAATTCTGTGGGTTTCAGCTAACGAAAACACCGCTACGGACATATGCGATTGGATGTATCCGTTGGTTCCCATAGTGATCCATCGTATTTTGCCCATACTGATGGCTCGTTATGGAGCTCTAAGTTAGTTCTTTCTACAAATAGGTTTTCACACAACCTTTTTTCTCCCACGTGAAGTGAATCTGCCACGCAGTTAACCAGTCTACTTTAACCTGAGAGCTTAGTCGGTTTCACAGCCTCGCTCCACTACCGTTCCTCACGTAATTTCCAGCAAGTTGAATACCACATACTATCTTTTGTTACTGCTAGTTTCGGGTTAATCAGTTCACTTTCAGATGTGGCTCATGCACTAGAGTTGAGTAAGTTGTATTCACCAATACTGGGTGGGATCGGTAAAGAATGAACGCTCATTAGTCAGTGGTGTCGGCAGAACGTGATAGAGAAGATTAGGTCGTTTGCGTTTTTCTTTGAACCGGGGACCGTTAACTGCTGTGAGTTGGTAAGAATGCTTCTCACCACTACACTAGACATTGGATCTCAGTGCCTTGGTATAAACTGTGATTATCAAGATGATAAGTCTTCACCGTCAGCTCTTCCTTGTGGTAAGTGTGAGGTGATCACCTTTGGATCGTTCCCCTTGGACAGACGGTTGGGTGATTTCAACTCAAGGGTGCGGGCTCTCCGCTCGACGAATTACGTAACCTCCTTACAGAGTTAGACTCGTTCTGCCGCAAGAGAGCCATTTCTTTTCAAAAAAAAGATTCCACATGTCTCATAATTAATGCTTCTCTGTGTCCACTTGATTCAGGTTAGGCTTCATCGACAAACGCGGAAAGCCCTTTCAGTTTAGAGCTGCCATCTGTTTACTCACAACGCATTATGCGGGCACCGGAATGTTATAAAATTCGTTTTTGACATTTGTTATGATAGCATGGATAACCTCTGTATGCTTTGAATCAATTTGATGCCATGTCGACACAAACCTAGTCGCGCTCATCCAATCATGGTTGACTATTCAGTCTTTCGTAAGTCGATGGAAACCAATATAGCTGACCGTAATTAGCGTTGAAACACCCCTGCAGTAACAGGACCAAGATCACATCTTCGTGTAGTCTCGTAGGTTTCAGCCATATGACTTTAGGTACTCGTCTCATCTAACTAGACTGGCAAAATCTGTCATGGTAACTCATGCTGATTTGATCATTCGGTCTTTTCACCCGGTTTTACTTGAGCTACACATGTATTTTGCCCTATCACATGCACTGCTCTTGCTCCCGCCTTTAGACTCGTTTTGTGTACTTGGATGTCAGCAGTTGAGAAAGTAATGTCAGCGAGTTTTTTTTGTAGATAATCCAGACAAACTGTCAGTATGTACAGTCTGGAGTTGTTTTCTCCGTTTCACCTGTTCATTTTCGTCGTGCTGTCAATGCGGCAAAATGACTTCCATCACGATCTTTACTTAGTCTGCCCTGGTTTTGTCATGTGCGGTGATTCCCTAAACTGCCCATTGTCAATTGGAACAAATATTTTCTCTTCGTAAACCTTCCAACTTCGTTGCTTTTCTCCATAGAAGGGCTTACCATATGGATAAAGGTGACTGGGTCGCTTGACCCTTTGGTTTGGGGGTACTATATGGCCGTGGACTGTTTTTGTGCGTGTGATCTGTGCTGTACGTCCTGCAACTTGCTTCCTCCATCCCACTAATGATGAAGTGCCTCCTATTGGTTACCGGGGATCGAGCATTTAGGCTCTTTTGAGCTCACGCCTTGGCACAACTATATCCTCCATTAGGAGTAGATCGCATGGCTACTCAATTATTTAACAAACCCTATCGTTCAGCTACAATACTTGAGTTGTCGTGCAACCTGAAGGGAGAATTATGCTTGAGGTACTGCGCCATCGGGTCAATCCAAAAGCGGGGAAATCTCCGTTTTCTCGTCCCCCACCATTTTCATTCGGCTAATCTATTTAGCAACGTTGGACTAGAACACTGGATGTTTGCTGCCATTCGTCCATTCATGACAGCGCAGCCCCGTATCCAAAGATATTCAGTCAATTTTTTTTTAAAGAATTTGTGTGACCAACTAAGTGGTAGTGTCCAGTCATAGAGAAATTGTCAGATTTACTGAGAAGATTAGAGTGGACAAAACCAATAGGCACCACTCACCAAAAAATTTTAGTTATCCTTAAATAACACACCCGTAGAATTGTTACCTTGTTACATTTCTTGGCACCATCTAATCGATCAATGGAGTTGTTACAAAAAGTCTACGGAATTTATGACTCCTTGCGCAACATACCTGTCCGTGTGATTTTGTCGCGATAATTTTTCACTGGCTCTATTTTGGAAATCCTTTGGTGACTCGTCTGAAAATCGATGCGTTATGGAGTGGTCTGTAAGAATGCATGGACAACTTTGATATTCTAGTCCAAGCTAAGGTTTTTGTGGGTGTCTGCTCATCCTTTATTCGTTATGGTGCGTGGGGGGTTGCTCCAACTTTAGGCTGTGCACCTTTGTTGATTTTGAAATCGTGACGGGTAAGGATAGTCGCATGCTTGTTCTTCGACAAAACTGGCATTTCCGGAACGGAACTCAACCGAGCTTTTCCCGTGTAACTTGTTGCTTTTTTCACTTGAATTTTCTTTAGATTCCAACGGCTTATTTGCTTTATTGTTTTGTATAGTGTTCACTCCAGGTGGCTGCTCAACGACAAGTATTTTCGATTTGGAGTTCATCGTACTTTAAATCTGTGCTGAATGTACGTGGTTGAGCCATCGGATTTTGGCCCCTGTTTTTTCAGTACTGACCCTTAAGCCGTAATTTTTATAATGTCCAGTTTTCCCTTGCTTCATGGCGAGATCATTTCCCGTTTGTATACCGATTTTCATGGTGTTGTTTTCAATGTGAACGACATTGTTTTTGTGTGGGGTTACTGATGGCTCTGGCCATCACACTGTAAATTTATTGTTGCATTTCCTCTAAACAGTTTGCTGCTTGGAGTCGCTGCGTTGGTTGGTATTTCCGCGTGTCAGTGGTTTGTAGCCAACGATTTTCCGGACTATAACAGTCTGTTCCCAAATCCAGTACCCATCGCCTTTTTTGTCCTCAGTCAGTTGGCCTCAGATCGTGTGAACCGCAGTCCAGTTCGCTCACGCAATTCGAAAGTAAGCGCTTCGCTTTGCGTGAGATTTTTACCTCGCGCGATCCATATATGATTCGGCACTTTGCGTATGCTTGTTTTTCATCTCCGTCACATCACAAGCTCACCAAAACTTGTTCCACTGGATCATTTAAGCTAAAAACTAGTGCTGCCGCATTTTCGTCTAAACTGAATGTTTTCCGTTTTATTTGCGTGTGCTTTTTAGATCCTAACATTTCTTATACATGCGATTTTCTTGTTGTCTATATCCTATCCTTAGGCAAATGCCAGAGGGGTCTTAGCCACCTGTGAATGTTAATATCGCGTATCTCTCGGTCAGTGTTTGCACCAAAGGAACATCGCAACACGGCAGCCATTAGATATGCGCCTTATTCGAGCTGGAGCCTGGGTGCCCCACGACTCTGTCTATGTTGCGCTTTGTCGCTGGCCTATCTCACCTTAGGTCGACATTAGATTCCGCTTTCTCAAATTATTGATCACATCTGACCGAGCACCGATTCAGGTTACGTTAACCTTTCAACTATAAGCATCGGAAGTTATGACAATCGTCGATCATTGCATGAAATCCGCCCGCTGTCTCCATTACTAATACGGGGAGGGGATTGCTCATGGCTTCGCTTCTGTTCAGTCACAAGGAAAAAACTAACTCCATATCAGTTAAGCTTTAGACGCTCTTCTCATCCTCCCTATNTCCTCTGAACCGGTGGAAATGAAGCCATTTTGTCGGCAGTCATTCGAGGTTGAAAATCTTTGGAACTTTTTGGAAGGCTCTGAGGATATGGCGGATACAGTGTGATTGAAGACTGAACAGGGTAAGTGGTAGCGCTGAAAACTCCTCATGAGCTGGGCACTAGCTGTCCTGGATGCGTCCAATGGTGATTTTGTGATAACTGAAACGACTCTTTTGGGCCCTACAGCTATCCCACCACGTGCAGTCTAAGCTCCGTCACGAAAAGACTGGACCTTACCGTGGTGTGACGGTTTGCGCACCTCAGCGATCCATTGAGCTATACTGAAGAGTGTCCCGCGACACTCACAGAGTCTCTCATACCAGGTTGGTCAATGGTTAGAGGTCTGACGAACACAGTCTCCTGGCCCTCCAGGTT